CACATACACACACTAATGGTCTTTGAAATCCAAAGAAGTTGCAGAAAGAGGAGTGTGTGTGCTTGTTGTGATTGTGTGTATGTGTGTGTGTGAGGGTCTTCCGTGTTGTTTTGGCTCCCTGGAAACTATGTGTTGCAATAAACTCCAGCCACCTGCATCCTCCGTTCTCTTGGTGAGATTCAGAGCTGTTGGTCATGGTGGATTTTCTGGGAGAGGTGGGAGGGGTGGGGTGTTCAGCGTGCAGCTGTCGTTCAGTTTGCGCTCGTTTCTTTCGGGGCCTTTGAAGAGGATGAATCAGTCGGTACCGAACGGGATGTGTGGTGCTCCGTAAAGCCTCCGTCTCTGGATGAGACGTGTTTACAATTTAGTCTGACTGTAATCCGTCCTGCCAACCTATAAAAAAACCTATAGAGACGGTGACGGCCACAGAGGGTTCATGTTGCACCACTTGCACTCAGAATAGACTGTAGAGCAAACAAAGTGAGGTTTAAAATCCTCGAAGGGTAACGTTTCCTTCTTGTCTTCTGTTTTTATATCAGTTTTCAGAGATTCTTGTGTCYGTTGCAGGGAGATTCCTTCACTTCAATGCTGTCATCTTTAATCTTATAAACGATGACTGATGATCTGTTTTTATGTTCCCTTCAAACAAGGAGAAAAAAAGATATACTGCATTAGATTTTTTTGTACCTCCATATTGTGATGTGTGGCTGTGAGAAAATAATGTCACGAAATCTCGTCCTAAGATATCCGATGCTCWACCGCAGAGATCTTTCACCCTGATCCTATATGTTTTAGATGGTTTCCYGCTTCAACACACYTGACTGAGATGAATGAGTCATTGACAAGCTTCTGCTAAACTTGWTGACAYTCTGAGTGGGTAATTTAATTAYTTGAATCAGATGTATTGAAGCACAGAAACTGCTGCTAAAACATGCAGGACAGTGWGCCACGAGGAACAGCATTACAAGACCTRCATAACGTTCATAGATTGATAATTTATTCACCCTTTAAAGTGCCTGTGACATCAAATTTTAGTAATAAATATGAACTCATTTTTGGAAAGATAACTAATAACATATTGATTTGATTTGATTTATTTATTTAACAGGAAAAGATTATTAAAAATCAAGCCTGACTCAGCATAATTG